GAGGGGATGGGGGGCATTCCCAGAAGCACTTAAGAGGTTTGTAGATGGGAAACGTACTGCCACAGCAGCCTGTGGGTGCCTCTGCTCTGAAGTGATCTATGTTCCCACAGAGATCAGAGAGACCAAAGTACTTCTGGTGTCTGTGAACAAAAACTTATGGGAGTTAAAGAGATCACCCGAAGAGATCTACAGAGGCCTGCAGGAGGTGAAAAGAGACCTGGAGCAGTCCCTCAAGGACCCCGTGTGCTCCATACCTGCCCAGCGTGCCAGGTGCAACTCCATCAAAATGTCTCTGGACCAGCTGGACAACAACACCTACCTGGGCCAGGTGAGGGGGCGACCTCCTCGCGTGCGAGGCAGGGTCATTGGGCATCTGGGCAGGGCTCCACATGGGTGCCTGCCCCCATGCACAGTGCCTGGGCTCTGTCCATCTTCCTGGCACCTGATCACCACTGGAATGGAGCATGAGGGAAGAAGTAGTAGGAAGCCCCCCCACCCCCCTTGAGAGTTGTCTTGTTGGAAAAAACAGGAAAATGAACTCAACTTTAAAAAAAGAAAAGGAAGCAGAATGCATTTCTTAAAAAATTCTTTGTTGTTTAAAGTATTACATCAGTCTCCCTTTGCCCCCATTGACCTCTCCCCAGCCGCTCCCACCCTCCAGCACATGCTTTCACGCCCCTACTTTCTGTGTCCTGTGGTTATGCTCATATGCATGCATACAAGTCCTTTGGTTGATCTCTCACCCCCAACTCCCCTGCCTTTCCTCTTGGGTTGGACAGTCTGTTCGATGCTTCTCTGTCTCTGGATCTGTTTTTGTTCATCAGTTTATGTTGTTCATTATATTCCACAAATGAGTGAGATCATGGGGTATTTATCTTTCTCTGACTGGCTTATTTTGCTTAGCATAATGTTCTCCAGTTCCAACCATGCTATTGCAAATGATAAGAATTCCTTCTTTTTTACTGCAGTATAGTATTCCATTGTGTAGATGTACCACAGCCTTTTAATCCACTCATCTGCTGATGGACACTTAGGCTGTTTCTAAATCTTAGCTATGAACATAGAGGTGCATATATCCTTTCTGATTTGTGTTTTCTGATTTCTTTGGATATATTACTAGAAGTGGGATTACTAGGTCAAATGGGAGCTCCATTTTTAATTTTTTGAGAAAACTCCATATTGTTTTCCACAGTGGCTACACTAGTCTGCATTCCCACCACAGTGCAAGAGGGTTCCTTTGTCTCCACATCCTCACCAGCACTTGTCTAGAATGCATTTTTATAGACCTTCAGAAGCTAAAATGTATTTTGGGATTATGTGCCTGGTATAGTGATTACATGTGCCTAAATATAAAGTAATTTCTCATATTCCCAAAGAAATGATTAAGTAAAAGAATTTGGAGCAACTTGAATTTATAAAGTTCTGGGATATAGATAAAATAATCATATCTGCTCATGATCTTTAATTTATTGACATAGTGATATAGATGCACACCACATTGGCATAAATCAATATTTTAATTTAGCTACATTTTTCTCATTTTCATATTTTATGCATCAGTTTTACTTACACACTTCACGTCCAGCATCTGTGTCTTCATAGCTACTACAGTCACTTTCATCGTCATCAAACAGTCTTTTAGAGCTCAGGATCTGCACTGGCATTTAAATTGAGTCCTTTTTGGGGAAATGATTAATTCTGGTATATTTTCAAACATGCAGAAAGACTGCTAGAATGGTGCCAGGAACCTCGGTCTACACCCTTTACCCACATCCACCAGTTGTCAACATTTTGGCTCCATTTGCTTGATCATATCATTTTATCTATTTATCTACTTATGTATCTATCATCTGTCTAGGTATATTGTCATATCCTATCTAATAACGATGAAATATGCAAATTGACCATCACTCCATAACAAAGATGGCGGAGCCCACAGCCAATAAGGAGGGAATATGCAAAATGACGTGACAAAGATGGCAAAGGCCAGGCTGGGACATTGCCATGACGATGATGCAGGCATTCTGCACTGCCCCAGCCGCTCTGGGCCTCTGGGCAGTGTGAGAAGGCCGAAAGGCGACTCCGGGCCGGAGTGAAGGCGATGCCGGCAGGCAGGGGAAGGAAGGCCTATTCTTGCATGAATCTTCATGCATCGGGCCTCTAGGATGTGCATAAAATGATAGGCATTTTGTTCTCTTCTCAGTTGTTTCCAGGAAAGTTGCAGGCATTATGCCCTTTTACCCTAAATATTTCCTGACCTTACATAGCAAGTAATACCGTTATCAACGTGAGGACATATACCATTGACCTAATCCTACCATCTAACCTACAGTGTATATTCAGATTTTGCCAATTTTTCTCAAAATGCCTTTTTTTTTCTCATTTCAGTGTAAGGTCCAGTCCAGGATCACATGTGGTCTTTGGTTTTCACATTTCTTTAGTTTCTTCAATCTGAGACAGTGTCTGAGTCCATCTTTTTTTTTATGACATTGACATTTTAAAATATATATATTTTTATTGATTTCAGAGAGGAAGGGAGAAAGAGAGAGATAGAAACATCAATGATCAGAGAGATTCACTGATCGGCTTCCTCCAGCACGCCCCCTACTGGGGATCAAGCCTGCAACCCAGTCATGTGCCCTTGACTGGAAGTGAAGCTGGGATCCTTTAGTCCGCAGGCTGACGCTCTATCCACTGAGCCAAACCAGCTAGGACTACATTGACATTTTTTAAGACTACAGGCATTTATTATACAGAATGACCTCCAATTTATATTTGTCTGATGTTCCCTCATGATTAGATTTAAAGTATGCACATTTGTCAGGATATCACAAAAGTGATACTGTGTCTTCAGTATACTGTGTTGGGAGGTACAGGATATTTGTCTTGGTATTGGTAAGAGATAGGACACTTTAAATCTATGCATGATGTAAAATGAAAAATTTATTCCAGATCATGCACCAAAAGAACCATGGATTGTATTACTTTTAAATGTGTTTTTGAAAAGATTGTTTATTCAATAACTAGTAACCCTGCGCATGAATCCGTGCACCAGTAGCTCGCCAGTAGCTCGCTGCTGCCCTCCAGTAGCTCCCCCCGATCTCTTCATAGCTTGCTGCCCTGTCCCCTCCTGTAGCTCTCCACTGCCCACTTGTGTCTCGCTGCCCCACCCTCCTACTGATCCGTGATCCGGTCATTCCATGGCCGGTCAATAAGGAGGTCACAGTTTGATTCCTGGTCAGGGTGATTCTCCAGGTGCCACACCCTGAGTGGCTGAGAGCAGGAGTGGGACAAGGGCAGGAAGGACACAGGATGGATACCCCTCCTTGATATATCTGAAATCAATTATATATATATAGATATATATATATCTCATATATGTGTTGTGTGTGTGTGTGTGTGTGTGTGTATATATATCATATATATTTATATATATTTTAAAGT